ATTGGTTCGTTAACTACCCAGCGTGACGACATTCCTTTTGGTAAGACTTGCTCCAGTTCTGTGCCTGCCTGCCTGCGTGTTGACGCACTGCTTGCTCACCGGCTTACGGACCTGCTACGTTTGCGTTTACATACTGGAAATATAATTACTACTTAATTCACTACTTGCGTACATACTGACTCATACGGGATACATCATTTGGCGTCGCGGACATTGAACCCGCAAATGGCCAGTTGCTTACGTGCCCCCGTGCAATTCTGGGACGATCCTGCTGCAAAACCGTCTGCTGAAGCATGGAATTCTTGGAAAACTACATTCACAGACTATTTGGATTTAATTTGTGTATTTTCCCCGGCGGTGCAGCTAACCGAAAATGACAGAATCAAATTTCTAAGGCACTATTTGGGTCAGGAAGGTAGACAGCTGTTTGACGCACTCGATCTGAAAGTCAAATCAAGTCTGGGAGAAGTGTTTTGTGCATTAGACAAACACTGGGACATTCGTCCTAATATATTTGTTTCTAGATACAAGTTTTCTTTACTGAAGCAAGCTCCTGATGAAGACTTGTCTACGTTTATTTCCCGTTTGTTGTGCGCATCACGTTCTTGTGATTACGGTTCTGTACCAGCAGACAAATTTGTGGAAACATTACTAATACAACAATTAATTTCTGGAATGAATAATCATAACATACGTGAGGAATTGATAACAATGGACTCCGCCCAAATGACTTGGGATCATGTATGTGAAACTGCAAGATCTAAATGGGATTTAAAACGGCAACTGGAAATTTTCCGTTCTGACTCTCATACTACTGTATCCCAGATAAACGCGTGCCACCGTGACCGGAATACTACAAATAATCGTACATGTTTCCGCTGTGGAAGTAAAAAACACAGAGCGGATTATACAAACTGTCCAGCATTACCATCCATGTGTTTTTTCTGCAACAAATTGGGCCACTTTGCTCGTGTGTGTCGCTTGCACTCTGTTTGTACTATTCGGCCTTCATTGAAGCCGTCTAACTGCAGTACAAGTACTGTTGGACCTACACGCAGGTTTCAACCCGATTGCTTGAATGAGATTTCTCTTCAACCCGATGGAGTGGAGAAAATTGACAATAATTACATCATTTCATCCATACAAACCGGACGTTGTAACATTTCAGCGAAAAACCTTACGGAAGACGACTACTATTCAGCGCACACCCAAGAGCGCAATTCCAACGTTTCGTGCAGTTCCGTTTCCGGGGGAGGATGTGGTCGTTCCCACAGCAGTTCAATTCCATACGTCCCTACTCGTTCGGTGCAAAACAACAAGCGGAAAAATGTCATCTCCAAGCCGCTACGTTTAAATACGAATTTGGCTTCAGAAACGTCCCAGTCCTCAAATGACTACCTAATGACTTCCCGAGGTCTGCACACTTCGACTGATTACATTACATACGGGCGAATGCATAGTCGCGACATCAGGTCATGTGGGGAGATTCCGTTCATCATGAATCAGCTTCTACGGCCACAGGCGCGTTACAGGTTTCTTCCGAAAAGGAGAGGTGATGTTGTGGCCTGCGGTCGAGTGACACGTTTACCGTTCATCATCACATAATTGACCGTTGCGGCCTGCCACCACACGCACGGACGCACGTCATGCGGACTTACCCTGTTACAAGGTCGATCCACCTCAGCGAATCAGAGGTCAGTATTGATCTCTCCTCATTGATTGGTTCGTTGACTGCCCAGCGTGATGACACTCGGTTTGGTAAGACTTGCGCCAGTTCTGTGCCTGCCTGTCTGCGTGTTGACGCACTGCTTGCTCACCGGCTTACGGACCGGCTACGTTTGCGTTTACATACTGGAAATATAATTACTACTTAATTCACTACTTGCGTACTTACTGACTCATACCGGATACAACATTTGGCGTCGCGGACATTGAACCCGCAAATGGCCAGTTGCTTACGTGCCCCCGTGCAATTCTGGGACGATCCTGCTGCAAAACCGTCTGCCGAAGCATGGAATTCTTGGAAAACTACATTCACAGACTATTTGGATTTACTTTGTGTATTTTCCCCGGCGGTGCAGCTAACCGAGAATGACAGAATCAAATTTCTACGGCACTATTTGGGCCAGGAAGGTAGACAGCTGTTTGACGCACTCGATCTGAAAGTCAAATCAAGTCTGGGAGAAGTGTTTTGTGCATTAGACAAACACTGGGACATTCGTCCTAATATATTTGTTTCTNGAGGTGATGTTGTGGCCTGCGGTCGAGTGAAACGTTTACCGTTTATCATCACATGATTGACCGTTGCGGCCTGCCACCACACGCACGGACGCACGTCATGCGGACTTACCCTGTTACAAGGTCGATCCACCTCAGCGAATCAGAGGTCAGTATTGATCTCTCCTCATTGATTGGTTCGTTGACTGCCCAGCGTGATGACACTCGGTTTGGTAAGACTTGCGCCAGTTCTGTGCCTGCCTGTCTGCGTGTTGACGCACTGCTTGCTCACCGGCTTACGGACCGGCTATGTTTGCGTTTACATACTGGAAATATAATTACTACTTAATTCACTACTTGCATACTTACTGACTCATACGGGATACAAGAAAGGAAATGGCGGAAGTGGCGGATACCTCGGTAAATTTTCAGGAGTTCTCGCTTGAAGGCGCTGTACCTTGACTCGGTCGGTTGCAGCTTCCTGGGGGAGAAAGCTATTGGTTTCCATTCCTGTCTCATTTATTGTTGGAGGACGGTGCCAACTGCGCGGTTGGGCTCATCGGTGACGAGTGTTTGTTTGGCGGAGTGGTCTAGGTGGGTTGATGTTGCGACTTTGCTGATTGCTTGTTTCAACGCATCGAAGGCGTATTGAGAGGCTTTTGTGAACACTAACAATTTTACTTTACCCCTAAGTACATCAGTGAGTGGCCGCATAAGTTGTGCACGCTGAGGGATGAAGAGACGATAAAAGTTGACAAAACCGTCAAAACGTCGGAACCACTTAAACGTGGCGGGCTCTGGGTAATCTAATACTGCTTGACTTTTGTCACTTAATGGTTCGATACCAGTGGCTGTGATGCTGTGACCGAGAAAATCAATGTTGGAGGTACCAAAGACACATTTTTGCGCGTTGACCGTGACACCGTGCTGTGCCATATGATCAAAAGGTGCTCGGAGGTTTCCTTGATGTTCCTCTCGCGATGAGCTAGCCACTGGGATATCGTATAAGTAAACAAAATCCGATTCTAAGATTCTACAAACGTTGTCAATAAAACGTTGGAAGGACTGCGCGGCGCTGCTTAAACCGAATGGCGTTTAAAGGAATTCGAAAAGGCTGAACGGTGTGACCAAGGCCTTATTGGGGATGTCGGCATCAGTTACCGGTACCTGGTTGTATGCGCTAACCAGTAAATGCAACTGAAGATGTTTCTGCCGGGTATGTCTGACGTGAGATCCGTGATGTGGGGAGTCGGATAACTATCTGACACGCGTTTGAGCGCGCAATAATCTCCACATAGACGCCAGTTGTTGGATGACATTTTGGGAACCATATCGAGAGGGGCGCTCATGAGTTTTCTTAAGCGCGTATGATGCTCATCTTCAACATGTACTAAAACTCTGCGCGTGTAGTGTGCAATTCATCTGATGCTAGTAAACGGGGTAGCGCGTGGATCGGTGAACTTCCAGTGATGATTTGGTGCAATAACTCGTTCATGATAAGTGATAACTCAGTGCTAGGTCAGACGAGGATAGGGAACTTGCGGAATAACGGTGGGTAAAGCGAATCATCTTCCGGAAAAAGGAGGTGTATATTCTTTGTTTCGAAATATACCAGACAACCGAGGACTAATCTAGAAGTGAGTGGGTCTCTAATTTATCGCTTGCCGAGATCTACGATTAGACCTTGGTGCTGTGAAACGTCTAGGCGAAGCATGGCATGAGGAACCCGAGTGACCATGAAAACCCGAGGTAGGACGCTTTTTAAACCTAGGTCTAAGGTCAGTAGCCGCTGCCCATAGGTTTGCACAAGGGTGTCGTTGGGTGCTTGTAAAGTCAGTGCTGCTGAGTTGGCAGCATCCTGTTAGGTAAACGGAATTATACTGATTCGCGCCCCGGTAACCACCATAAATCTAAGCTTCGATGAGTTATTGTAGAAAAAACGGTACTAAGGGGTGGAAGAGCCGGTTGAGTTGGTCGCCGTGACCTGCCGGCCTGTTATTTCTCTGCCCAGTTTTGAATGAACACGGCAGTTCGCACTTCGAACATCCTTTCAGTGACAATAGCCAGGGTTACACAGTCTTCCTTTGACGTAGATACTTGATCATCTACTATGTCCTCGAACTCGTGGTTATATAGACGTTCCAGGTCGTTTCCTATAAGTTTATCTGACTGTAAGACGTAGTTTCTTGAGGCTGTGTAGTTACCATCATTAACGAGTGGTCCGCAGAGTATCCAATCAAAAATCGTGCGCACGGCGGACGACTCCCTACGGCCAAAACCCAATGTGCCTCGGGTACGTCACAGCCAATCAATATGTCTACCCGAGCGTCCGGAACATCTTCAAACAACAGTTTGTGGATGTGAGGCTAGCGCCTCGCCAACGACCTGATACATTCTGAAGCCCTCATTGGTAAGTTTGGGATGGTAAAGACCTGATGAACCTCGATGGTTTCTTCCCCAGATGTGGAAGCTAAATGGAAATTCAATGGGAAACCTGGAACCGCGTGCGCGTCATTAGGTGTGGTAATTACGAGTGAGGTATTTTGTCCTCCCAAATTATGCTCGGATGCATTTTCCAGGAATGCCACAGCCTGGATCAAACCATGTGGAGTTTCCACCTGAATAGGTTTAATTCTCAAGCGAACCGTCCCACGCTTAACCCGTCCAATAGTGCAGATGGATTTTGCTACATCTCTCACGGTATCC